ATCTCAAAAATATCAAATTCCCTTGTGTAATCCCTAAAATCTCCTAAATGCATTTCAAACGTTTTTTCAGTAAAACTTTATAGTTTATCTGATATTTTCTGTACCCTATCTCAAAACAGGATCGTTCAATTCGACCAACCTCGTAACCACCAAAAAAAAATAAAAATTAAGTTAAATTAACCTTTTTTTTTTCTTTTTAGAATGACTTCAAATTGTAACATGAAACTACATTTGTTTATCCTAGGTAGCTCTAAGTTCATAACATTATGCATTTATAATCAAAATTGATGTTTTATTGCCCTTTCAACCATGTCTAACAACTATCCCCGCCATTATAAGTTGTAAATCACTCGGGTAATGTGCAGCTCACATTACACTATCAAATTACATTACCCACAAGCTGCTCACGTGCATGCCTCATGAGCCATTTTAATTATATTATTACTTATTTTACCTAATCTAGTCTTAAATAACTAAAAAAGATCAATATTTTTACATTTTAGTTACTTTTAAAATAATATATAAAGAATAAGTATAAGAATAAGAACAAGAAATAGAGTACTTACCCAATCTTCTTTTTTCTTGCTGTCAGGTTTCAAAGAGAGTTAACCCTAATTTTTTATACTATAGATAGTAATGCACTTAATGATTTTTATTTAATTAAATAATGCACCAAAGAATATAGACTAATAACATGCAAAATATAGACAAATTCACTTACCTCTGAAAATTTTCCTGGCTTTCTAACTATGCTACAAGAGCTGTTATAAATTCATCCAAGCCAGTCATTAATTTTCCCATGTGAATGATGCTGCTACTCTTAAGTGAAATTGAAAATTATCTGTTCAGAACATAATGTTATACAATCATTTGACTTTCTATTGGTTATAGGTAATATATAATGAAACATAAGAGAGATTTATCAATAAATTGTGAAAGAGAGGATGTGGCAGGAGGGGTCTGATTTTCTATTTGATAGCTCTGTAACCAAACAAAATTGAAGACTATAAAAATTACGGTCTGTTTGAGCAATAACAATGTTATAAAGAGTAATTTTCATTTAATTTCCTACATTTTAGAGGGGTGGTGGATAAAATAGGGATGATGACATGCTAAGACAAAGTGTGTCACATTGGTCACACTAGTGAAAATTCAAAATCTTTTCAAAATATTCCCTTGTAGAATTAAGAACTTAAAACTTATATACTGTTAAAATATGAATTATTAGCTAAGATTTTATGCTATTCTAATTGGTATAACATAAATAAAAAGTAGTATAATAAGATTATACTAAAACCTTGAGTCATGTGCAATAAAGGATACCCTGGGTGATAGGGTTAAAGCATAATGACTTGAATGGCTCCACTTGTATATAGAGGGGAAATGTTGCTGGAAAGTTGTTTTGTGCAGAATCTAATATTTGGCTCATTTTCATTTTTATGTATATAACATATTTTGCATGTTATATCTTGTTAAATATTGACCTGTACATTCCTTGATTTTTTGTTGTTGTTGTTGTTATTACATCTTAATGCATCTTTTACATTAGAATAGTGTTAGACATGTGTGGTATTTAAGTCTGAATTTTTATTGTAAAAGGTATTTTAAGGAAGAGAGACTGTGGACAATAAAGATCACATATATTTCACAGTGAAAACAGTAGTTTATTTTATGTTATTGTTGAACATGTAAACAACAGAGATATGTTTAGGAGAGAACGAATACTCTTTAAAAACCAAGTATTAAAGCTTATAAATACTTTAGGTTTAAACAAACAAAACTGACTTTCTTGGAAAGGAGTGCTTTATTGTTTTATAAATCATTATAAATTAAAAATTTTAGAAAGCAATTTCAGTGTATGTTTAAGTTTCAAATTGCACATTTATGAAGCTTTAAACATGAATGTAAATAGTTAGTAGAAACTTCAATATTGTTTTCATTTTGTTCTGTAAATTACATATCAATAATGTTAGAAAGAAATGTATAGGTCATGAATTTTGAGTTGTGAATTAGGTCTAATTGTTTTCATAAAATAATATAAGTTGCACTTTTTGATTTTATTTGAATATTTAAATTGTATGCTTATAAGGTTTGAAACAAATTCAAAATGTCAAATTACTTTTGGTTGTGTATGGCATTGAAATAGGTCTATTGTTTTAAAGGGTACAGAAACTTCAACAGTTACACTAGTATGTAAAAGTATAATGGTAAAAGTATAATTTATAGTTATATAATTGCATTAATATCGGTAATCTAAAGTGGATATTTGTAGTTGTAGGCTTTAATATTTCATAAAATTGTACTTGTACTAGTGAGTTAAAATACAGGTTTATTGCAGGTCCAGAATAACAAACAGATTGTTAGTCAGTTAAAACATAAAACCTTTGCTGGTATAAATGAGTTCAAGCCTAATGAGGTATGTGAAACTAGTCATTTTTGAATGAGATACTCTTTACAACATAAATAATCTTGATTTTGATGTATCTTTTTTTGTACTTCATTTGGTAATTCTGATATTTTGCTTATCTGGCACTCACTGATTTAACATTAAGTTATTTTTATTTTAAATTTAAAGTTGTACAGTTGAATTTTACAATAAAAATTATTTTTTGAAAAACATATTTTATACTAAACATTTTGGATATATATATATATAAAATATACTTGTGTAGAGAAGCACATTATGCTAGTACAGTAGTAAATTAACTCACAATGATTTGTAGCACAGTGATATTTATTTTATAAAACATATGACCTGTTTCTACAGTAATTGAGTGTCTTCTTCAGATATGACACAAGGCTAAGCATAATAAGATTTAATATACAAAATAATGACACATGGGAATACAAAATTTAATAAATTTCATACTTCTTCGAGAGGTGGTAAATAGATTAAGAGAAGAGTGGAAACCTAAAAAGCAAATGTTACAATCCTTATACGAGGGAAAATTTAGTATTTGTTATTTAATATTGCATTATAAAAATGAGAACTTAAAAAAGTTATTTAATATTAAAATTTGGATAATGACTGTTTTACTGCCAAGTTTAATCATCTACCATGATAATAAAGTATTTTAATTACATTTTGAATGTAACTCGGTAAAACCTCATGACATGTCCAGGAAAGGATACTCGTATGGAAAGAGTCAATAAAAGCTCTTTCCGTGATAGGGTTACAACCTTTAGTTAATTTACTACTGATATACTTGTTTAAATATACTACACTGAAAGACATTCACATAAAAAGGCATAGCGTAAGTAGTTGTTTCGGGTTGTTAACATAATTAGTTGAGATGATATTGTCATGTAGTATATAAAGGATTATTCATCAAAACCTTTGCACATTTTAGGTTGGTAATCGGATGAATGCTAGATGGACTCATGAAGAACTTTTGTTAGCTGTGCAAGGTATGGCATTATGAGAAATTCAACTTTTCTCAAATATGTAACTTATTATGCTTTAGAAATCAGCAATATTATAATAATTCTTGTCACAGCAGCCGTAACTCCAATAAGATCCCTCATAAAAATGTAATGGGAAAACTAAAATATGCTGTATGTTTCTACTATTTCAGATATCTGCAGTTCTTTTAAGCAATGGTCCTTACATGAGGTCATATAATATATAACTATCCTTCCCTTTCATATTTTCATTTAGTCCTCTTCTGGCCTTATTCGTGGTCGGTCCTTAATATGTAAATTACATTTAAAGATAATGCTAGATAGTGAAGGATAGATTAAAGTTACTTCGTGAACTCATATGGTCATGTATTAGATATGTAGAAAATATAGTAGTGTTACGTCATTATTATTGTTCGGAATTTTTAAAAAATGCTCTCTCATTTCAAATCAGGTAGACTTACACCAGAAATACTGAAAGCCTTTTCTTGAGTTTAAGCTCAACTCATCAACAGAAAATCTGACTCAAATTTCTGTATTTCCTTTATGCATTGCAGAGCATGTGTCACTTAATCATAATATTTCACCCTCCACATGATTTATTGTGCAAGTGTCAGGGGATCTTATATAAGCTCTGTCTTCCTGCCATAATCTATATTTTCATGTTGACAATTGTGTTGTTAAGTTTCTACAACATTCTTTCTGATGTAACTATTTCAGCCAATATCAGAATTTTGATAACTTAGAGGGTTACTTATGCAGTTTATCTGTAGCATAAAGGTTAAACTTGTCAACTCTGATTGTTCAGTGTATTTGTGCCATTTGTACTGATATTCCTGGGAGGAATCATGTTTGTATGGACATCTAATTTGTGTAACACTTGACATCTTACTTTGTTTTTCATCAGGATCTATCTTTTGCTCAGTTCTAATTTCCTTCAATGTCTGCAGAATTAGATTTGTCTGCTACAGTGCTAGCCCTAATTATAGTGACACTTCTGCTTGTCACATTTCTTTTTCTCTCAGGTATATTTTTAATATTGAACCTAATTCCATTATACCTGAAGGTGCTTGTCATGTAAAATTATTTCATTACTTAAATCTTCTTTTATTTCTTCCACTTTCTCCTGATGTTGGGTTGCAAATGTTTTCCTGAACTGTCTCTGTATTATTCATGCACTTCATACACCCTTCTCTTCCTTTTGAAATTTTTGATCCCAGGTTTAGTTATTTGAGGGGGGGGGGGGGTCTTCCACATGGTTCTTTACTGTGGCCCATCATCAGTTTTCTGTCATGTATATGAGATATCTTTAGGATTTCCAGCAAAACAGAGAAATGTAGGCCCACAGAAACAGTT